CGCTTTGACGTAAATAAAAAACGGTCTGCCCGATTTCAGTGCAACGAGAATAGGTGGATTTGCTAGATATGTTTTAATATCCTCGAACGCCTTTTGACATGCTTCATCCCAAATGAACGACACGCCTTTATTCGTGAGTTTAGAGAACGGTTGACATTTTCCGGACAGGTTCGATATAAACCGACGGATATATGCCAATCGACCTTGCATCCCTCTGAGTTCTTTAAGAGTTCTCGGGGGTTGTAATTCATGTATCACCTTCACCTTATCAGGATCAATATAAATACCTTTTGTAGTGACGACGAACCCAAGAAATTTACCGCTGGACATTCCAAGGAAGGATTTAGTCGGGTTCATCTTTAACTGATGAGTCTTCATAAGATCGAACATCATCTTCAAATCATTAATGTGATTGTTTTTATCATGGCTTTTAACAACCAGGTCATTAACGTAGCATTCAACGGTCTTCCGAAGGTGCTCTTGAAAGATCTTTATCATCGCTCGTTAGTATATGGCGCCGGCGTTCTTCAAACCGAAAGGCATAACAGTGTAACAGAAGACACCAAGGGGTGTTCTGAATGCAGTGTGCTTTTCATCGTCTGGGTGCATCTTGATCTGATTATATCGAGAAAATCCATCCATAAATGACATTCTCTCGAACCCGCATGTGTTGTCAATAATGACATCTGTAATTGGTAGAGAAAAGTCGTCTTTAGGGCATGTTGTATTCAGATCTCTAAAGTCAATACAGATTCTGATCTTTTCGTTCTTTTTAAGGACTGGAACAATATTGGCCAACCAATCAGGATGTTGTTCTTCTCTGACAAAGCCTGAATCAATCAGTTTCTTGACTTCATCTTCTATTGCCTCCATAATTTGCGGACGAAACCGTCTTTGTTGTTGCTTGACAGGTTTAACATCCGGTTTAATGTTAAGGCTGTGCATTGCCACATTTGGGTCAAGTCCCGGTATATCTTCGTAATTCCAAGCGAAAACGTCGATATACTCTCTAATAAGGGCGATTAGTTCCTCTTTCTCATTCGGCGAAAGGTTGCCGCTAATAAATATAAGTTTCGGATTAATTTCATCACTCATATTAACTTGGGCTACTCTATCCTCAGTAGGAGGTTCTCTTTGTTCAAATTGATCGTCGTATTGAATATTCATGTAATGTACCCAGGGATCTTCCCAAGTGGATAATTGATCATCATCTTCTGTAGTAGATGGATCGACTACGATCATGTTCGACATTAATCTTTTGAACGTTTCTCCGATACTAGTGTCAGAATCCCATGTTGAAGTATCGGATGAATACTCACTTTTATTTGTTAGCTGGTTAATGATTTGCTAGCAATATTCATCATCAGATGACGAAACGTAACCCAAAACTCTTCTACAGCTGTAATAATTATCAGGTTTTCCCTTCAGTTCATAGGTAGGATGGGGTGGAACCCTGGCACCTTGACCAAAACAAAGACCTTCACCGAGCGAGAGGTTATATCCTTGCTTTCTCATGTAGTCATTTACTTGTGGACTATACCTAAAGAAATATTGTCCGGTTCCTTCGTCATCTGAGTTGGTGTCCAAGAAGAGATCAGGAGTTGGGGATGATTCCCATTTTCCAAAAATTATTTCTTTTTCACCCCCTGTCTTCGCAGGTAGGATCACGGTTGTTCCGAATGAGTTTTGGATGTATTTCGTCATCGTACAAGACGAACGAAGTGGCATGTGTAGACTAGGGTCGTCATACAATTCTTGCATTATATTATCGAGGCAACGTGAGTACTCTAAATTATCCTTTATTATTTCATCGGCAAGTTGCCAGTTACAACTTTCATCCGACGATTTATCACCGTCAAGATCGATTACAAGAGGTTCAATGTCATTTAGTACAAGACCTTCACTATAATTGAGCCTAGCTTCGGTATCAGCTTCTTCTCCGCTGTCCGTACCATGGGCTGATGGTTCAGTATCGAATTCAGCACCATAAAGAAGGGAGTCAGTAAAATAATTTTCTAACCCCTTAAATAGTTGCTTATCCGCGACCACCGTCTTAACCTCGTTGTTAGTGTCAACATATTTCATACACTGATGAAGGGTGGAGGGAATTATAAGATTACTGTGGATCCATGGGCGACCCAACAGTAAATTATAAGAAGTCTCCGCATCGATCACATAACAAGTGACCTCTGACTTCAAGTCTCCGAGTTGACACTTTACCCGGATTTTCCCCAATGGCCTGGATCCACTAGTATTGAATCCGTAAATAATGGTTCCCGTAGAGGCTAGCTTATTGGCAGGAATTCCGAGGTGGTACATCAACCGAAGTGGCATGATGCTGATAGCGGAACCCGAATCAACTTGAATCCGGTTGACAACGCTTGAGCCAATATATCCAGTGAAGTATAAAGGCCTATCATGTTTCGAATTCTTGACTTGCATATCTTCTTTGGTGAAAGCAATACAAGGGAATTTTGTGGTTGCCAAGTTGTAGTGCTGAATCGACGACTCTGGCTCTTCAGGGGTTAGCTTAATCTGAGTGAGAAATACCTCAGAATCAGCTAATGCTTCTTGCAAAGCTTCTCTGGTATCCTTCGAGAGGCGCAGTAATTCGTACAACATGATCCTTGCTGGGATATTAGCTAACTGAGCCATGACGTCGAAACGATATGGAGCGTTCGAGCTTTCCGGTTTATCTCGTCCAATCGGTCGATTGAAACGAGACTGCCTCGGAACTTGAACCTCTTTTTGTTGAGGTTCTTTCTCCTTTTTCTTGGTAGCTTTCTAAGGCTTCTCAGTTGCTATGGGTGGATTTGTGACCACCCGTAACTCCGTCAAAGTCTTAGAAGGTACAGCTTTTACGACTCCCTGCTCAGCTAATTGTTCAGATGCGCTTGGGTAATTAAAGCGGTATTCATTTCCACTCCTAGTAGCAAAAGATTCTTGCTGTTAGATATAGGTGCCCTGCAGGCAATTATTGTATATTGTAACAGGACCTATATGTATATAACATTCTTGTTCAAAATGATAGTACGCTATTTTGGTCAGATTTCTCTGATGTTCTAAAAATACAGATAATGTCCTTAGAATAAATACTAGACTATCAGACATTTTGGATAGTGATCGTAATGAAGAGATCTGATTAGTCGGTAACATATATTCTAAAATGTTCCTAGTTGATGAAGTGTTGAGATAGGACATCATCACTTTGGTTTAGACTAGTGTATGCTTTATTTCTCCTTTTGAAGGAGATGATCAATCTCTTAGATCATTGATGTGAGACATCAAGATATAGTAGACATCAAGATACAGTATACAGGTGACTCATTAGTGAATGAGTTGACTGAACGACTCGCCGAGAACATCTAGTTGGTAATATACTTAACTGTCAAATAGAAGTTCTCAAGTGATATAGTACATAGTAGTCTCTTGACCTGAGGCATGAGTGCAATATCTTATATGTCAGTAAAGATGTATGTTTGTGGAAAATTTTGAAGTAAAAGAAATAATAAAAGAAAAATTGACTTGTATTCTCTCAAAATCGATTACAATTTGGATTCCGATTACAAAAGAGAGGAGAATGAATTTGATTCTCCCCTTTCTTTAAAACAGGGTTCTTCTTGGTAGCGATGGAGTGCCTCCTTCGATTGTTTGCGTCGAATTTGCTCTTCGTTGACGATCCGACCGTACTATCTCACGAGAACGATTGACTTGTTTGATTAATCCGGTTTAGAACTCTTAACAAGTTTAATAAACTCAGAACGAGTTGAAAACTCTGAAAGGAGTTGTTGAAAACCGAATAATCGATTAGTGTAATGAACTTGGGTTGCAAGTTTAATTAAGAACTCTTAACGAGTTTTCGAACTCAGAGCGAGTTGAAACTCTGTAACAGAGTTGTTAGAACCAAAAATTTGGTTAATAGCCAAGTAGATCCGCTGTTGGTGAAGGGATTCTCTGAGATTTGATCAACTGACTGCCGATCAGTTTGTTGATCTTCAGGAAAATCGCCCTCTCCGCCCAACTTCAGGTAGTTTTAATCCAAATCTCCAGCTCTGTGCAGTTTAGATGCAAAAACCGATCAACCCCTTACTCAGTTGAGTAATGTGGTTATTTATAGGGGGATAAGGGGTGTAACCAACCCCTAAATCCGCTCCTAAGTGGACGAGAATCCCTCAGAACGTGGGATAAACGGTTGTTAGGCCGTTCAACTTGTGTTTGAACAAGTCAAACGCCTAACTTGGCGTTCTGGGCCTTAACTCTGCGCCTGAGGCTTGAGACGCAGAATTAAATCTCTGCTAGAGATTTGAAACGCACAGGCCGTTTGTGTGCTGAACCTCAACTATGCGTCTTGAGTTTGAGACGCAGGGTTGGGTGTTTGCTGAAGAACACACAGTCTGTGCGTTTTGTGTTTTAACTCTGCGTTGCAGAGTTGAATGTCAACTAGAGAACGCACAGTTTGTATGCATTTTGAGTTTGGGAAACGCAGAGGTGGACTCTGCGTTTGGGAGAGGTTGTTGGCTTGTAACCTCATCCATTACAACATCGCAAAGGCTACTGCTCATTGATCTTTGCTTGTTATGGGATGTGAAAGTCGTCAGATTGTAACTCTCACGGTTGATTATGAACTACTGAATAGAGTTTTCATCAGCTGTCAGAAGTGTCGTCGATTTGTAACTCTTCTTGATCTATGTGAAAAGTCCTCTGTTTGTAGCTCTTGTTTGTTGGCATGAAAGCTATCTGACTGTAACTTTCATTGTTGAGGCTTGATAGGGATCGGCTATCCATTGTGATTTTTAGACAGCCTACAGAACCCCTCCAAAGTTTTCGAAAGTTCGCGGTTGACTGGGACGAATTTTCGGAATACTTTGGATCCTAAAATTTAGTGTATTGATTGTTCACTCCGCCTGATTTGAAGACATCGCAAATCTGGTTGTTGTAATGTTGAAATTATGTTACCCCAAACCAAACAACGTAACCTTTGAGTCTTGATGACAATGAACTTAATCAAACGAAACAAATCCCAAGTCATCGTTAGACTCATCGACAGGCTCGTCCTTCTTCTCTACTTCCTTGGAGGCAGGAACAGCAACATTCCTAGCAGATGCAATAGGAACAACAGCAACAACAAGGACGTTCTTGTAAGTATTGACGAACATGTGATGCGCCGCTGCAAGGGTTGGGTAAGAGAGAGCGAAGGATAGCGAAGCAACCATAGAAACACCAGCTGCAAACTTGTCAACGAGGTCATCCGCTATGAGGTTGAATACCTCTGGGCTTAAGACAGATCCATTGTCATAGACAGAGAGAATCGCGAGCCCACATGAGAGAGATTTTATCCTACATTTAATTAGGAGGACAACCTCAGAGGATTTTACTTTATTTCCTTTCTTGATTAGCTCAACTTACTCTTTGTTGGGATGTTAAGCCATTTAGAAGAATGAGTTGCGCGTCGGATCAAGCCAGACGATTTTTAATGCTGTCGATTGCAATCTATCTGTACTCATACTACCGACTCCCCAGCGGAGTCGTCTGTTTCTTCTCGGCTTTGGTCACCTTGATGGCCACATCTACTTCCCTCTATTTATTCGAGGTTATGTCTTGGCTTCCAGCATCGAGAAATTCGTTTGGTTGCATTAAAACACACAGGTGGACTGCCAAAGAATTGGAACGCAGAGCTGAACTCTGCGTTCAGAAGCTCAAACGACGCACAGGTGGATTGCCAAGGAATTGGAACGCAGAGTTGAGCTCTACGTTCAGAAGCTCAACCAATGCAGACGCACAGGCCGCGTTTGGTGGGATTCTGGGCCTAGAATCTTGCCCTGATTTGATAGCTCATAGCTGTCTATAAATAGACCGCTGGGTCAAATCAAAAATCATCTGACTTTTCATCTGTCTTTTCTCAAAAAGCTTAACGAAGATTTCGTTTTGAACTCTGGTGAACCCTGTTCATCTTCTCCGATCATCATCCTTAATGGGTCGAAGAAAGAAGACCGTCTCTCGTCAAAGGTCGGCTGCTGCCGCTGCTCTGCGTTCTCGGTCGACCTCGGCAGTCGGCGGTGATGGAACTCAGGCTAGTGCACCATCGACACAGGCTTCCCTCGTCGGTGGTAAGTATCGACCTTCATGGTCACAAAAACTTGCTTCGGCAAGTTCTCTGAAAACCCTAGATGGGTTCTTGTGAACGAGAAAGATGACTCGTTTTGATATTGTAACGCAGAGTTTGAACTTTGCGTTTCGAATTTGAAACGTTGGGGTCCGACCTCTGCGTTAATGAATTTTGACGCATGGTCTGGGCTATGCGTTTGAAAGCTCGACGCAGGGTTCGACCTCTACGTTTGATGAAATTTTAACGCCAGATTTGAACTGTGCGTTTGAAAGGTCGACGCAGAGTTCGACCTTGGCGTTGATAAAATTTAACTCCAGGGTTCGACCTTTGCGTTTGATAGCTCGACGCAGAGTTCGACTTTTGCATTGATAAAATTTAACGCCAGGGTTCGACCTCTGCGTTTGATAAAATTTTAACGCCAGACTTGACCTGTGCGTTCGAAAGCTTGACGCAGAGTTCAACCTTTGCGTTGATAAAATTCAATGCCAGGTTTGAACTGTGCATTCGAAAGCTCTTGCTCCTATAAGTATTTTGGCTAAGGTTCCCTTTGTTTTATTTCCTCGTTGACTAATTGAGTACTTTTCTCTTTTGCAGTGCCTTACTCTCGCGAACCTCTTGCTCTTCGTCACCATTTCGGGCGCGAGGGTGGCGTAGATTCAAATATGCAATTCAATCTGCGTCAGGAACTCCCAATTTTTCAGGATGCAGACAAGGATCGTGTTACCCTGATCTCGAATCCAAGCCCAGTTGTACTCAGGATTTTGGTGACAGATGCCAAATTTGAAACCGACTCTCATAAAAAGCTTACCAAGCCGGCCTTCCTGTTTGGCGATCATGTCGTCATCCAAAAAGAGATCGTGACTGACGGCCACTATAAGTGGTTGAGGCAAATAGGAGATCGCCGCTTCTTCCTCCCTGATATGCATAAGATGTTTCCCATCGCTTACTATCAGTGTGCTTCCGTCCCTCGACATATGGATTGGGACCTTGTCCAGGAGCAGGATGGGGTAGCTATCGGGGCTTTGACTTACACAGGTGTACACACTGTAGGTTACAACCGCCAGGTGTCAGCTTTGGAACCCTGCCTATTCTCAAGGGGATATCCTGTTGGAGAAACAGCTAGTATAGCCAACACTTTTATGTGGAGATTTCTGGCCGCGAAAGGAGAGTTTCCTTCCTCAGTATTTAGGGCTCCTGGATGGGTACACTCTTCCAGAACGGGATGGTGGGCAAGAATGACAGAGTTCGTGTTGACAGAGTTAGAGGAACCATTGGTTCGATCTGGACTCAGCTGCTCCATAATGGCTACCAGATACGGTATTGACTACAACTATTATAATTTTTTCGCTGTTCTGGAGAAATACAACCCGGAGACGTGTACATTCTTCACACCTGTGAGGGAATTAGGGTTTACCCTCCATGAAATGTATGACGTTTCGGGCCTTCCTTTTGGAGACTTACCGTACGAGGAGTTCGTCCCAGAGTCAAATGAGCTTAGGATTTTGAAGGAGATGCATCCCGACGTCTATGACACTCTATGGGACGTAATGTGTCATTTTCAAATCTGCACCCAATTGACGGGGACACGAGGACGAGGTATAAAGCAGCTATCCTGGGCTGAATATCTATTCCAGAATTTATCCCACAAAACTGCCGATGTGTCTCGTCTGAGCGTGAGCACCCCTGAGACGATCCAAGCTTTGATCAACGATGCTACGGCCCATTATGTCAACGAGGGATTAGAAGAGGATTTCCCTGCGCAGACTGAGTTTGAAAGTTTCCACCACCAGGCTGCTGTGCCTATTTCCGACATGGCCTTGTTGACAGGCTTTCTCATGCTATAGCTAAAGCGATGTGTCATCCCTACGAGGCCCGTAGATGCTGTGATGATAGAAGTACTCTACCCGACTGTCCTCTTAGCTCACGGGAGACCTGTGAACTTACTTTCAGCTATGACGTGCTGTTTACAGCATGGTTTGAGGGAGTTGTGCCTCGAATTCATTCAGGTGAAGGAGGTAGATTCTGAAGGAAAGCAAAGTTTGGTGACACCGAATCCTCGAGTTCCTCTGCCGTATACCTATTTGATGGCATGGTATGTATCCCACTGTCCCCTTTTGATGAGTGCCCCATCTCCCTCGGACGAAGGATTCGTCCCTTTTGTATAGAGATTGGAAGGAGCTACTTGGGAAGGCACATATGTAGTGAGGGTTCATCAAATCTTGTCGAGAGACCTCAATTATTACCTATTCCGCTGTTTCCCAGACTTTGAAGGCGGTGGCTACGGGCAAGTGTTCTAGGATACAGCTAGCCCGGATGGTTTTACCCGTTTAGATGGAGGTGTCTTCCACTGGCTCTTGAACATTAGACTAGGTTATCTTGTCCTTAGGCAAGGTGATAAATGTATAATTGAACCGTATCAACCTTACAGATTTGCTCGGCAATTTGGATACGATCAATTATACATTGGGAACCCCCGTAGTCATCTTGCAATTGTACGTAACATATACGAAGGGGCTCGGGCCTGGTACTACTCTACCGCAGGCTGCACTGGAGCTACCTTTAGGTTACCTCACAAGACGCCTAATTCCCTCATCTCCATAGCTTTCTGTAATTGGTATCACACAGCTTCCAAGATACCTGATTACAAGTTAAATTTGTCGGGGCTACAGGAAATTCTGAAGAAGTACTCATCCAGAAGAGGATCCCGGGTATCTCGTCTAAAGGGAATCAATGAGTTCTTATCTTATGAAGGTGAGGCTGAAGAAGGACCAGGGGATCTGGAACCAGAGAGTGCTCCAGTAGCAAGCCCTAAGGCTGCTGAAACTCCAAGAACAAAAGCAGCTGGAAAGAGGGCTCTTACCGAAGAAGAAGCAGTTCAGTACGAGAAATGTACTCATAGGAAACTATTAATAGACCCTCCTTCTCAGAAACTAATGGCGGATGCTTTCAAGTCTGCTGGGAGAGAGGAGGAACAAGAATCTGCTGTTGCCAATCAACCCCTCCACACAGGACTTCGCTCTAAGGGTCCCGCTTTTTCCAGTGAATTTTCTTCTTATCATCCTTTGGAAGAAGAGGGCGGGGACGAGTCATTGATTGGGGATGTGGAGTCTTCTCCTACTATGGACCCTATCATTTCACCATTTCCAGGTCAGGCTTCAGATGCTACTCTAGAGACGTCACTTGCAGTGTCTCCTGTTAGATGAAAGTCAATATCGTGCTGCTTCTGTGCTACTACCACAGACGGAGGCTGCTATTCCTAGCCCAACGACTGGCATTATGACTAAAGCGGATGCCACTGCAAGCTCTCCTGGATTATCGACAGCGAATGATGAGGAACCGTTAGACTACGGGACTTCTTCCCATAGCGATGATGCTGATGAGGAGGAAGGTGATGGTAATGAGGAGGAAGATGAAAGTGATGAAGATTCCACCGGCTGGGCTGATCCGCCACCACCTTCTTCTGACAAAGCGTCTACTTATGTTCCTTCTTCCCCTCTTGATAAAGATTACACCTGCTGGTTTCTCTAAACTTCTTTTTCTTTTGTGCTAACTACTCTTTTGTGTAGGTTCTCCGACCCGCGAGACCGTTGATAAGACTTTATCTCCTGAACAGCAAGCAGCAGCTGCTTCTCTCCCCGGGTCAATACCGGTAACGACTACTTCTTTGCAAGAAGAATCCCCCACGCTAATGATTTCTCTTAAGTCTGCAGGGACGGAGAGTACGCTGAGTTCAGCCCAAACAGGGACACTCATGATTCTTCCTTCCAGTCCTTCACAACTAGATATTTCTATGGCTTCCCCAGCTTCTTCTCGGTCGTCACCCATCATTTTTGCACCAGGGTCTATGATTCTGAGCTCCCCAACAACATCTCCTGTGAAGTCTTTAAGTCCAGTGGTTATCCCTTTCGTGCTTAAGATTCTTGTGCGAAATTTGGAGCACATGATGAAGGTGGCTATTGAGGAGGTTGGTGCCGGATGAGCTACGTTTGACTCTTTTAAACCAATACTCATGCCTTTCTTGGGCAGCCTTCGACATGTGGATAACGCTCATTGGTTTTAGCACTACTCAGAGAACCTCTCTCAATTGGAGAAAGATCTGAGGGCTTTGGAGGAGTTGTACAGTGCTGACCTTGCTGCCCAAATCACATCAACCTTCGATGATCTCAGGGCTGAAGCGACTCACCGACATGAAGTTCTTCAATAGAGCATCACTGAAAAGGAGTTTGAGATCGCATCCTTACAGGGGCAATGTTTTCAAAAGCAGCAGACCGTAGTTGCTTCTAACACTACCATACAAACATCTCGTACAGAAATTGATCAACTCAAGGTGGAGTTTTCCGACACGAGGCTGAGCTCGCGCGAGAAGAAGAGATTTTGAAAAGGCTCACACTAGAAAGCGTGAAGACCTACGCCACCTATCGTTCATCAGCCCAGGATCTTGAACTTCTCCAAAAGGAAGCT